CCAACATAAAGCGTGGTGGTCGGTCACAATGGTGAAATGGCGGCCGTGCAGATGAGGACGAAATTTCTGCACTGACCAAACGATGGCGAGACACTTCTGATCAGTGATCATGTACCTCCTCTCAGCTGTGGAGAGGACGTGGCTGGCGTTTGCAACGACTCGCTCTCGCGAAGAGTTGTCGCGTTGCAGAAGCACGGCTCCTAAACTGCGGCCGCTAGCGTCTGTGTGCAGGAAGGTCGGTGCATAATCGTGAAAATGAGAAAGTACAGGGTCGGTCGTGAGGGCACTCTTCAACCTGTTGAAAGCCGATTAACATTCCTGAGACCACTGAAAGGGCATACCGGAAGCAAGTAGCTTAAGGAGTGGTGCATCTATGGAGGCAAAGTTTTGTATGAATTGGCGAAAGTTAGAGGCGAGACTAAAAAAACTTCGCAAATCTTTCGGTTTGCCAGGGTCAGGAAAGCGAAGCACCGAAGCAGTTTTCTCAGGGTCTGGACGAATTCCGTCCTTGCTCACAACATGACCGAGGACCTTGATAGATAGATCTGCTGGCGAAATGGCACGTCTTGGTATTAATTTGAAGACCAGCGCCCGCAAGGCAAGTCAGGACCTCGTCCAAGCGTTGCAGATATTGAGGAAACGTCGATTGAAAGACAACAATGTCATCGAACTAACATAGACAAGTCTTCTATTTCAGGCCTCGCAGCACAGTGTCAATAATTCACTCAAAAGTTGCGAGCGCATTGCATAGACCAAACGGCATGACATTGAATTCGTATAGGCTGTCCGGGGAGGCAAACGCAGTTTTTTTCTTTGTCATCTTCGTGCATTGGGATTCGCCAATAGCCGGAAGGCAAGTAGAGTCTTGAAAGGAATTCAGCACCTAGTAAGGAATCAAGGGCGTCGTCGATGCGTGGCATGGGGTATACGTCCTTCCTAGTGATCTTATTGAGTGCTCGGTAATCGACGCAAAATCGTACGGAACCGTCTTTTTTACGCACCAGAACGATGGGAGACGACCGAGGAGTGGTTGAGAGTCGGATTATCTCCCGTTGCAGCATATCGTTTACGTTTTCCTCAATAATTTTTCGTTCGGCTAGAGAGACGCGGTACGGACGGCGGTGCACAATGGATGTTCCGTCGGTCTAAATACGATGCGCTGTAGGGGCTGTCTGTCCCAGGGTGGATGAATGAACGTCAGAAGAGTTTGCATGCTTTTTCAACAAATCAAGCAGCTGCTGCTTCTGTGAGTCTGTGAAGTCTTTGTTGGTGGCTGCTGTAAAGGCCGAGGAAGCAGCATGATCTGCGGGATGGTCTTTAGAGGAGACAGGGGTAAGAGGCACGACGCACACAGGCTCCAGATTCGCAACGCAGGCGACAGTAGTGCCCCATGGCAGTAAATTTTTATCTAGTGTGGTGTTCATAGCAGCGAGGACAGCTGATCCATTGTTGAAGCGAGCCACACCTGATGCGAGAGCTATGCCTTTATTAAGGCAACGGGGGCGACGGAGTGACCAAAATGTCACCAGAGTCGACTTCGTTGGACAAAACTGTGACTAATTGATGTTCGTGTGATGGTAACTGAATGTCTACAGCAGCGATGAGTCGAAGTGGTGAGTCGAAGGTTTCGTCACTGAGCAAGTGGTCTGTGTCAGTAAGATGGACGACACGTTGTGCACAACAAATAGCCGCGGAAGCAGAGGAACGAAAGTCCCAGCCTAAAATGAGTCCGTGGGAGCACGGGGATAACACAGCAAATTCTATATAATGAAGAATGTCCTCAATTAGCACACGGGCAGTAAAGAGAGCGGAAGGGCGAATCATTGTTCCTTGGGCTGTAACCAGTGTTAGTCCATCATAAGGCGTCGTGACTTTCGAATGCGGGTACACAAATCAGCACGAATAATATAAAACGCAGCCCTAGTGTCCACCAAAGCATCAACGTCCACTCCCTCAACTGTGACTGAAATCGTATTGTAAGGGCACGCTGGAGGAATTAGAGTTCTGTGTTGAAATGCAGTTTGTCCTCCAAAAAACTGCATCGCTTAGTTTTGCGGACGCCGATCAGAAGCGAGGGAAGCAGGCTGAAGAGGAGAAGAGGAGCGATGGTAGGGCGACGGTGAACGGCGTCGGGTTGATCGATGACTAGTGCGCAGTTCACCCGATGCTGGTGGAGATGGAGACCGACGCGGCGTTGACGAATAACGGCGGCCCTGGTATAAGGCTCCTGCGGTATAGTCCCGTTCGCGTATGTCGTACCCTCGACGCTCGTCTTGCTGGCGCTTGCGGCAAAAGCGTGAAATGTGCCCACGATAGCTGCAATAGTAGCATGTAGGGCGAGTCGTTCGATAAGGAGGGTAGTAGCTTGCGTTAACTGCACCAGGAGAGAGAGCAGTGAGAGGGACAGATGACGGCTCAGGCGGTGGTGACGGAAAGCTCGTGGGAAAGCTTGTAGGAGGTGCGGCAGCAACCGACACGTACGTTCGTGGCGGCGACGTCGAGTTGACGGTGCCTGATGGTGCAGCGGCGGCATGCGAGAACGATGGGAGAGTATGAGCGACAGTGGGCTGCAGGTGGGCCATGGGGGTCATGGACGTGAGCTCCTCCTTGATGACATCTCGCAATGACACTGAAGAAGACTGAATGGGACACACTGAAGGCAGTGTGAATCCCATTGATTCTAATTCTTCGTGTATAATCACCCTTATTGTGTCTCGTAGGTTTGGATCCGCGGTAATACGGGCCACGTCACTGTCTGGTTGTAGGCGCATAGGCTCAAGTTCTTCGAGGCGCTGACAGGTTGTCGCAACGTCAGCAACGGTAGCCGGATTCTGGATTGCAAGGGCATTGAATGCGACGCGTGCAATCCCCTTAAGAAGCTGGCGTACTTTGTCTGACTCTGTCATTGTTGTGTCGACCCTGCGGTAAAGTGAAAGAACATCCTCGATGTAGGATCTATACGACTCCCCGATGTGATGTTTCCGAGTCGCGAGAGCTTTCTTTGCGAGAGCCGAACAAACAGCCGGTGTGGCAAAGACAAGGTGAAGCTGATCTTTGAAGGCTGACCAGTCGGGGATGTGGATGAAGTGGTTGAGGAACTACGTCTTCGCGACACCCGTGAGGTAGAATGAGACGTGAGCGAGTTAGGTGTTATCCCACTGGTTAGCAACATCGACACGTTCAAAATCGTCAAGCCATTCCGAGACATCTTCCCGCGCATACCAGCGAAGGGATGGGGCTCACGCTAGAGGCTGTTAGTGACGAGAGAAGGTGAAGCTCGTGGTGGCGGAGTGGGAACGGCTGCAGCACCGACTTCATCTTGATGCGACATATTTCAGGACACCTGGTCCAAGCGGCGACCTGAACGCAGCTCCAGGGGTAGAGTGGTCGAGAGGACGGCGGGGGATCTAACAGCACGCTCCACCACGTATGAAGTCTTCGTTTGGAAGACCTTTATTAGGCCCGAGGAACCAGCAGCCGACAGCTACGATGAACGAACCAAGATGATGATGTTAGACGAATGTGATGAGGATGCATGAGCGACACATGATAATGATGATAATGTACAGGTGAAGAGGATGGATATATAAATGCCCACAGTATGTAGAACGGTATGGAGCCAGCAAACAATGCTGAACAGAGCTTTTTGGGATCTTGTGCAGTCATATATGTCAAAAAATTAGAGAAAAAAGAGCTTTGTCTGACCAGTTCTGCTAGTTAGCTGCAGAATCATAATATTAAGAAAGTTTTCTTAAGTAATGGTTCGTCACAACAGTTGTCAACATGTGTGACTGAAAAGAGAAGTTCATGCAACTCAGCATCAACTTCTAACTTCACGGCTGTTCTTTTAACGAAATGCCACTTGCAAAATATAAAACACGAACTGCATGAGGAATCACAATGCACATCGAAAATGAACTCTCATTGTGTTGTCTCCCACCTCGCGTAATAAACAAGAATAGGTTACTGACACGTGATAAAACACACGCCACACAGGCCAAACTGCACGTGAGTCTTTCCGTCAAGTTGACGTCTTTTTTCACTAGTTCACAAAGGGCACGTGCATTTCTAACAATTGCACTTTTTTATGCCCACTGTTTTATTTATAAATGACGCTGGCTCCTTACCAGCACCTGCTCAGTTTTCTTTGTTGAGCAGACTTCCGCCTAGAAGGTTCTGCACGGTTCAAGGCTTTCATGAAGAATCTCAGCCTTGTCAGCACATAAAACCCTACCACTCACTGAGTGACATGTTCACAGTGCTCCTCACATCCAATCAGTTTCACTTTGTTCACCTTTAGGAGCTCTATGAGATCCATGATGCTGTCATGGTGCACGCGGCAGGTGCTAAAACAATCGGTAAATGTGTCCTCAAGAAATCCAACAAAGTTCACCAAGGTCGAAGATAGGTACAAAAGGCCCCCGTAATCACACTGTTGGGTGAAATGCGCGATAGCGCTTTCAGATTCTCGCGAAGTCAACAAGTCGTTTTCGCAAGCATAACAGTGCAACAACACGATGCATTTCCCCGCAACAAACCCGCTAATGTAATGGACCAGTCTGCGGTCACTTGTGGCGCACACGTATCCTTCATGGTCACTCTCATGTGACATCACATTGTTGAACATATCGTTTTCATTGCTTTTAAACTGAATTTTAGTTAGTGCATGAGTGAAGCCTGGGTTCTGCGGTGGCAGTGACGGGGGCGGGCACAGTCTAGGGGATAGAAGAGAGCCAAGTGTGTCAGGATCCACATTGCCCTTGTCCGGTGAGCGCACAAGATTGCAAAAGCTGATGCATGACATTGTGTCGAGGACTGCTGCGGTGTAGGATGATCGTTATTCCCGCTGCACTGCCGCACTATACCGAAAGTGTTCTCCAGGGTGTTTTGGTTTAGCCGGGCTGTCATCAAATAAGCATAACCTACTTCCGTCGTCGGATATTCCAGATATAGCAAGGTGATTTTGATGGTTACTCGAAACCTTGCTGCTGTGGACTGACTCAGGAAGACCCGCTTGCCTTTTGCGTGCGACTCCCATTCTGTCAAGCAAGCAAGAAAGGTGTTGAGGCAGTCGACCGCACTCGAGTTCAACCGCAGCGCTACTCTGGCGTATCGAGAGGACATGATGGTGATGATGCTGTTTGTCATCCTGCATAAAAGAAAAGAAAGTAAGAAGAGCGTTACTCTATGCCCGTGTGCAAGATATCTTTAGCAGGAACGCACAATGAACATGACACTCCATGTCATCGTGGGGATTCGTGCCTCATTATTTCAGGTGCATAAAGATGTTGCAAAATTAGTACGATATAATTATGCTGTTTTGTTTCTGGACAGAGGTACACTCCTCTAGTACAACTTAGCACATGTAACGTTACAAAATTTACTACTAAGTTTGCAAGGAACGCTGTGAGTTTGGGCGAGAAGAAACGCAGTAAATGTCACATGATATAATATGCATAGAGAAAATTTTGCTTTAGATTTGTGAGCTTGACATTTCAATAACATGTTCGAAAAACTTATAGGGGCGTTTTATGTGGTTTCGAGGCTTCCCTTGCAGCATGTTTGAAGTGTCCTGCAATATGCCATTTCAGGTGACTCTGATGTATATACATACTCAGAACGGTACACTTACTCTAGTGTATGTAGCTTGTTCAAGTACCCAGCTGCACAAACAAATCTTTCCTTCTACCTGACTTTCCAAACATATCCTAAGCATTGCTGCTGAGACCAACACAATTAAGATATCGGACACACTTACTCAAAGAACCGCAAAGTCGCCTGTATGCAGTTGCGTCTTGATGGATCGACATCTTGTTGGTAGAAGCGCAGACCACGGGTCATTTGTGGACCAAAAAAATGGTAGGCGTAGGGGACGCGCATCTTCTCAAAGTTATTGGGATTGAAGTGTGCCTCCCGTATGCCATGCATCACGCGAAGTGTCACAATAATTATATCAATCGCGTAGACGTCTTTGACAGCGTCCAAGGAGACCTGAAACATAAATCATATATGTATTTGAAACTCCTTCTATTGAATGGATTGGGACGCTCAAATTATTTAGTAAAACCCGGTAACTTTAAATTTGAGGAAGTGATTTTATGGCTCGGCTCTTCAAGGTCTCAAATATTTAACGAGCTAGGCGACAAATAAATACTATCAGGTCATCGTTAATGCCAACGGTCTAACCGTGCGTATGTGAAAATTTGCTAAGGGGCTCTGACATGAAGCCTTCTCTAATGTCGCCCGGACATAAATGGAACCGTGTCCAGCCGAGGTGGCATTGACGGGTTAATTCTCGATATGCAAAGGCGCGGTAAACGAATGAAGTTACTGTGTGAGCAAGGACAGATCCAGCCACTCATTTTACGGGGGGGGGGGGGAGGGGGTCGCTTGAAGTAACTTTGGAGAGGTGGAAGTAGTCATGAATTTTTTGTTTTTGCTAGCAGAAAAACCTCTTCATTGCACAAATTATGTCAATGTGTGCTCACAGTGGTTTCACTCATTTGTCCTGATTGATGATATGAGGTGAACTCCGAGCCCTATATTGAGAGGGAGGAGTGCCAACAGACAATTTTTTTTGAAAGGTGATCTCCCCATCCCCCCACCTTCACCCCCGCTCTGGATCTGCCACTGAGGCCAATGCACAAGGTTGGAAGCAGACGGTTATTGTCATGAAATCATGAAACCGACCATAGCCGCACGCTTCACATGGTACGTAAAAGCTCGGCTACCCAGTCCAATGCTCAATGCCTGTAGGTGGCGTACGGCTTCGTCAAACAAAAGCTACTTACGTGGTAAGAAGTACAGACTTTCTCACTGAAGGCTGCCTGGGCGCTGCCATAGTCCTCTCTGTGGGCTGTTGTTACCGGCCTTCGCTACCTCCAAAGAAAAAAAAAGACTGGTGAGCATGAGACATCGGATTTAGTGCTCCCATACAACAGCCCAGAAAGGACGGTATCCTCCTCTCCATTAAAAAAAGAGTGGGTCTGTATACGTTATAGTGCGATAGCATGATGAAAGAACAAACTTTATCTACAAAATAAAAAAATATCCTCTGTTAAATTGGGTTTGGCGGACAAATTCGTTTGCTAACTCCGGAACATCGCCAAATCGAGTGTATATATATATATATATATATATATATATATATATATATATATATATATATATATATATATATATATATATATATATATATATATATATATATATATATATATATATATATATTCTTCCGGCTACCGTAATAAATGTTATAAACTTCGGGAATAGTGCTAGGATTAAGTAATGTTAGGATAAGTGTTAGGATTAAATAAATAATGTTTTGTTTCCTATACTGCACGATTCTCGAAGTATATATATATATATATATATATAAATAAATAAATATATATATTGTAACGCGGACTGAAAGAGCGAGGAAGAAGAAGAGATCGGACGCGCTCGAGCGATGGTGATTCGGCAGTGACGGTAGAGCGCTGACATTTTTCATTGAAAATAAACCCATCACATCCGTAACAGCTTTGGTGGAGCGGTGCTGGGTAACTTGTCATCCTGGACCCCGCAGCAGAAGTTCTTCGAAGAAGCAGACGTTTAGCTGGCCTACCTCCGGACAACATCACCATGAACGACGACACAGCAATCCCATTGACGTACTACGCTGCTGCATCAACCAGTGCCACCGACACGGCACAAGGTGGCTGTCGACCTCGACAACCAGACTACTGGGCACCTGAGCCACGAATTTTCTCAGGTAAAACTGACGAAGACGTGGACGCTTGGCTAAAACACTTCGAGAGAGTGAGCCGCTACTACGAATGGGGCGCACCAGCGAAGCTCGTGAACGTAGTATTCTTCCTTGCCGGGACAGCCCTGCTTTGGTTTGAGAACCATGAACATGTCCTCCCCACTTGGGATATATTTGTTAAGGAACTGAAGGCCTGCTTTGGGGACACGAGTTCCATGAAAAAGAAAGCTGAGCAAACGCTGTCACGTAGGGCTCAGTTGCCCGGCGAGACGTGCACAACCTACATTGAAGAAGTGTTGAAGCTTTGCGGAATTGTCAACGCAAATATGTCTGACGAAGACAAAGTCGGTCATTTGTTGAAAGGCATCGCCGAGGACGTGTACAATTTTTTGATAACAAAAGAAAACTTGAACACTCCTTCGATTTTCAGGCAGCAGTGTCGCGCATTCGAGGCGTTGAAGACCCGAAGAATTTTACCCAAGTTCGGGCGCTTGGACAATGTTCCCACTGTCGCAAGTATGGACGTCGCCACCTGCGAAGACATTTCCTACCTCGTACGTCGGGTAGTTCGAGAAGAGCTCGTACGACTTCAAGCAGGTGACGTTCACCACCAATGCTCGTTCGCCGCGTGCCCCGAACCACCTCCCTACTGGATGCGAAAGCGTCACGTCGAAAACCGACCACGCACAGAAACTGCAGATTTTACCGCGCGGCTTCCGTTTTCCCCGACGGGTCGTGGCCACCACCGGATGTCATCATCTCGACGTGCCGCTGCGGACCCCCGACCGTCGTCAACCAGGCCTCTACCAGAAGATTACTATGCTTCATCACAAAATGTTCCTGCGGAGCACGACCCGTCTCCGCGTACTTCTGCCACCTCTGCTCCGGCTAACGTAAGTCGACAAGTCCCCGTTTGCTACACATGTGGTCTCCCAGGGCATATTTCACGCTTCTGTCCCAGACGGCCGCCTGCACCGCCACGTTTTTCGACGTATCCGGCTCGTATGTACGAAACGCCTGTGCCGCCACGTTTTTCGACGCACCCGCCTCGTATGCACGAAACCTGGACCTCTCACTCGGCCGACCACCGTCCCCGACAGCAATGGCCTAACGAATTTCGCAGCGAGTCCCCTGCCTCCGAGAGAAGCCTGACCCCACCTCCGACACGGTCCCGCCGGTCGCCGTGTCCGCGTCGTCGGTCACCTTCCCCGCATCAGCTGGGAAACTAACTGGTGCGACCGATGGAGGTGCGGTCGCGGGACGGTCAGTTTCGCCAATTCCTCCTTCTGCTGTGATGTTGATGAACAAAGTGCGTGTGTGTATAGACGGTGTAGATACTCTTGCTCTTGTAGACATTGGTGCTGCTGTTTCGGTTATGAGCCTTCGTTTCAAACATCGTTTCTTGGGTCACAAAGTTATGTTCGCGTGGAATCGTAAAGAAACTTTTCGTGGAGTTGGAGGCGAAACGTTATGCCCTGTTGGTATTTGTTCAGTTGTACTCACGATTGGTGGACAAAATTTCCGAGTTGAATTCACCGTACTGGCTCGCGCAACTCATGACATCATTTTAGGGATAGACCTCCTTCATGAATGCGGCGCTACGCTTCACTGTGGAACTGGAGAGATTCTTCTACAAAATACGTTGCCCGCTGCAATAGTTGACGATTTTCCGACTCTGCCCATCGATGCTCTTTCGTTGCCTGAAGATGTGACGATCCCTGGTCGGACAGCAGTGTTTGTACCCGTATGCTCTTCTCATGTCCGCTCAGGACCCTGCACTGGACTTGTGGAGCCTGATCATGCAAACGCCATTAAGAAGAATGTGCTGGTCCCACGGTCTGTCCTTACAGCCATCGACGGACATGCTTGCTTGTGGGCACTCAACGCAGCCTCAGAGCCTGTTGTTCTACCAGCCGGATTCAAACTGGGTACGTTCGAGGAGCAGGCCACAATTGACGTGAGAATGGTCTCAGAGTCTCCAGCTATCAGTCAGACTGCGCCCAACTACTCAGCCGAGATTAAACGTATGATCAACAAGTCGTTGCCTTCTTCCGAGCAGAATGTCCTTGAGGAGGTACTTACACGCTACGCGGGAGTCTTTGATTTCGCTCAAAACAAGCGTTGTTCCATGTTGCCCGAATCCCGTATGCACCACCGCATCAACACGGGAGATGCTACACCGATACGCCAGAAACCCTATCGCGTATCCCCGTCAGAGAGGCAAGTGATCGCCGATCAGGTCAACGACATGCTGCAGAAAGGCGTTATTCAAAAGTCAAGCAGTCCCTGGGCAGCTCCTGTTATATTGGTAAAAAAGAAAGACAACTCTTGGCGATTCTGTGTAGACTACCGCCGTCTCAACGCCGTCACAAAGAAAGACGTGTATCCGCTACCACGCATCGACGATGCTGTTGATTGTCTGCACTCGGCCGCATACTTTTCGTCTGTCGACCTAAGGTCTGGATACTGGCAAATACCAATGCATCCGTCTGACAAAGAGAAGACTGCTTTTGTCACGCCTGATGGATTATTTGAATTCAACGTTATGCCGTTTGGCTTATGCAATGCCCCAGCTACCTTCGAGCGATTCATGGACTCAATCCTTCGCGGTCTCAAATGGGAGATATGTATGTGTTATCTCGATGATGTAATTATTTTTGGCAAGACATTCCACGAACACAACCATCGGCTTAGCGTTGTTCTAGACTGCGTCAAACAAGCTGGTCTCGTTTTAAACGCAAAGAAGTGTCATTTTGGTGAGCGTCAAGCCCTTGTGCTTGGATATCTAGTTGACAAGGACGGTATACGACCAGACCCGCACAAAATCAGTGCTGTCCGAGACTTCAAGCAACCGACGCCTTTGAAGGATCTCCGTAGCTTCGTGGGCCTGTGTTCTTATTTTCGTCGGTTTATCAAAGACTTCGCCCAGCTTGCTCATCCCCTGACAGAGTTGCTCCGCAAAAACACTCCATTTCGATGGACCATTGAGTGTGAGGCTGCTTTCGAGCAGCTGAAGTATTTGCTTACTTCCGGGCCCCTCTTGCGCCATTTCGACCCGGAGGCACTCACGGAACTGCATACAGATGCTAGTGGTATCGGAGTTGGTGCCGTGCTAGTTCAATATCACGATAGCCGGCAGTACGTCGTGGCGTATGCAAGTCGTACTTTGACTAAGGCGGAG